TCTTAGGAGCTATATGGTGACATTTGAAAGCCGCTTAATGCAACTTTCCATAGGAACTGAAATTCAAGAGATGTTGAGAACATAATCCTGCCTTTGCTAGCTGCACCCAAAGCTCTCACTGACGTCTGTAGCAGTATTCTGGTCTGAGAATCTCTGCTAGGTCAGGATAAGGTTGAAGATCTGGAGGAGCATAAAGATAAGTAAGAATTCACAGAAAAAAATCAGATACTTTGCACATTATTTATAATAATCATTATAACTTTAACCCCACTCTGGTCCTTCTCATCTTGAAGGATTACAAAATCTTTTACAGACTATAAACCTGCATATTACAAAGGACCACTCACTTTTTATCAAAATGCCAGAACATAACAGTAACATTAGGGAGAAGACTGACTTTGGTAATGCCATCAGTGCCAGATAAATTGGAATTCATATTTAAGAAGCGGAGAGTAGGAGAGGAGCAGAGGTAGAAATAGGAAAAGATGTCATAGCTTCAGTAACTAAGACAAGCAATTAATGGGGGAAGGAAGCCGTGTAGAGAATAAAATACTTTTAAGTTCCCTCCTGCTAGAAATGCAGGAGCTATGAACTGAGTCTGTGCCTCTTCTCCTACCTGTCTAACACCACATTTCCTTTTTTAATTTCCTGCACTTTCATCAGCTCTTTCCCCAGGATGTGCTTTGGTAACGAAGATACGGGGGATCTTTCTTGCCCTCCACTCTGGACCATGGGAGCAATGAAAAAACTGAAGCTCCGTAGTGCAATGCAGGGCAGATTGCTATCTGTGGCAGTTGCTTTTAGGTTGGTTTGCAGAGCTGCCTAGGAATGAGGCTGACACAGCTCCCAAACACAAATGATCTCAGACAATAATATTTGGATGTGAATCTAGATTGGGATTTTGAACTCTCCTTTGGGATCTGAGATTTAGATCTGAGGCTTGACATGGTATGGTAGCTTTTTGGGGTCTTTCTGCTGCAAATATTACCTCCACTAGGGTCTGTCAGTCCCCAAGCAGGTTCTGCAGATGACTCATGAACATGAGTTGTAAAAGTGAAAGCATTCTGGGGAAGAGAAATCAAGCTAGAATTATTATTATTCCCTAAACCCCCTTAAACAGGCACCAGGCTCGATCAAGTCAGAGGACCTTTGTCAATTGCAAAACTGGGCCTTAGCACAGCCATTTCCCTCGTGGCAAAACTCCAGCTCTTATTGTTCACAAACCTATTCTCATCACTGATGGAACAGTGTAAGTCATTGAAAAGTGCAGTGCCGCCCTCTAGTGTCGCCCACTGGATTTGTTGGTTGGCCTGTCATGCTGTGCAGCACTTTAAAAATGCAGTTAGGAGTTTCACCCAGCAGTTCTGACAAGTTAAATCTCTTACACAGTTGATGTTTGCAGTGGGAGATGAGACAGAAAAGCTCAGTGACCATTATAAATATTTACCACTCTGGACAGACACTTTCCATTTTGTTTGGTTTTAAAAATGTAATAGGTGATTATTCAGGCTTTTTTTAGACTAGGATGTAAAGATGTGTTGTTAGAACAGGTCATTTGTTTTGAGCAACATTTTCGGGGGGGAAATGCCTAAGTAATTTAGGCTCCTACGTTTCTCTCTCTTTATTTTTTCAAAAGTGAGTTCAACTGTTAGGAGACTGAGTCCCACTGGAAAATCAATGTAATTTAGGCTACGTACCTCAGTTGCTTTTGAAAATTATACTTTGGCTATAGTCAGTTTTTTCCTATAAACCTTCTTGGTAACTCTTCGGTCTTCCAAAATTTTCCTTATAATCTCTCAGGTTCCCCCTTAAAGTTTAATTTTTACATCTATGCTGCCTTGTCTTTTAGCACATATTAGCATGTGGGTAAAACTTTCAAAATGCCTACCTGCCAGTATTCTATGACCTCATCAGGATCAATTTTCCATGAAAGTTTTTGACAAAAAAATCCTCTTTTCAATGACTTTTTATGGTCTTTATTTTTAATTCAAAAGATCTCACCCAAGAAAAATCACATTTTTTCCACAAGTTCTAATGTTAACAAATGAAGTAATAAGAAATACATTGAACCATACATATACAGTGGGAAAAAGATCAGGGCGTTACTGTTGGAAGCTCAGACGAAAACTGCTGCTCGGACGTCAGTGGCAGTTAAAAAAGCAAACACAATGTGACAATGCTTAAAAAATGGGATGGAAGATACTGAAAATGTCACCATGCCACTTTATAAATTGATGGTATACCCTCACTTGGGTTACCAGGTTCAGCTTTGTTCACGCTATCTCTAGAAAAAGAACTCATTTGCTTCTCCTTTCAGAGATGGGTGATAAAAATGAGATGCTGGAAAGATATCCCTGTGAACAGAGACTGTGCAGACTACTGTTCAGTTTAGAGAAGAGATTATCATCATTAATAATAATAATAAAAATAATAATAATTAATAATAAATACCTACCTCTTATACAGTGGTTAACAAAGGAGTAGGCACGATAAAGGTACAAAAAGCAATAAATAGCAAAGGTGAATGAACAAGGGAACTTTCTATAAAATTGAGAGGCAAAACAGTTAAAGCTGATAAAGGAAATCCTTTTTTTTTTTTTTTTTTTTGTACACACCATAAATACCTTGTGGAATTCACTGCCACAAGATATCCCTGAGGCAGAGAGCACAGGAGTCAAAAGAAGATTAGCCAGTTATCTGGATAACAAGAACACCTACAGTTACATCACATATCAAACCAAGATGTTCTTATTTAAATGTATATTTACTTCTCATGCCTCAGGGCACAACCTCCAACTGAAAGGAGTGAGGATGAAGTTTCACCTGGGAGTGCCTATTCTTTATGGTCCATTCAGAGCACTCTAGCACCTTCCTCTCAAGCATCTGATTGAGGCCACTGTTAGAGATACAAACTAGATGGAAATTGATCTGATATGTAGTAGGAAGAATATCTGCTGGGTTATGCAACAGACCATAGCAACATAATATGGTCCTCATCAGGATTTGAACCTGTGCCCTACTTCACCAGTCACTACCACTTGAGTTATAGTAATATGGGCAAGTGGCAGGATGTTATAGTCTAGGGGTGCATCTACATAGCATCCTAAACTCGAAATAAGATACGCAATTTGCACTATGCAAATTGCATATCTTATTTTGAAACCATTTCGAAATAGCTTATTTTGAAATTTGGCATGTCTGCACAGTGCCAAATTTCAAAATATCTCGCTATTTCAAGCCATCCCTTATCCCTCACGCAACAAGGTTTACTAGGATGGCGAAATAGCACGCCCATTATTTCTAAAAATATTTCAAAATAATGGGCAACTTGTGTAGACACTGGGTACCTATTTCAAGATACCTCTGGTATCCCGAAATAACCATGAAGTGTAGATGTACCCTAGGAGGCCTGCTACTTTAGAGAAACAACAGAAGACAGAAAAATAACTTCCCATGCCGACCTGCTACAGCACAGTGGAAAGCTTGTTACCTTGAAATTTATCATCTGGCAGAGAGAAAGATCTAGTTCTGCTTTTAGGTACACATACTATTAAATGGTTTGTTGGTTGCAATGACTGAAGGCAGGCTACCACATTGCAGACAAATTCAATACAGTCAAGAAATGTGTGGAACTGGGTACTAATTTCTGGGACTAATAGAGAATGGGATACTTCACTGTGTTAGGGAGTAAAGCACTGGCTGTTTGAATCAAATAGAGTCTGCATCTGAACTACCCTGGATATGGTTGGTACTACGCTAGGTACCATCCTGAAGAAAAGGCTCAGTGGATAACAACATACTTGCCCTACTCCTGACTGGGAAAGTGGAACAAACAACTCTGTGCTTCCAGAAGAAAGAAGGGAAAGGGGAAGGAGGAAGGAAGGATGGCAGAGAGAGAGAGAAAGAACAGTCTCAGTTAGGGTACGTCTACACAGCAACATTGTTTTGAACTAACTAGCGTTATTTTGAAATAACTTAGTTCGCGTCTAAATAGGAAGCAGTTATTTCGAAATAATGTCAAAATACTGTCAAGCTGGAGGACTTCTTACTCCGACTCCTGTAATCCTCATTATATAAGGAGTAAGGGAAGTCAGAGGAAGAGTACTCTATTTTGAAATAAGTGCTGTGTAGATGCTCCCAATTTCGAAATAAGCTATTTTGAAATAAGCTACACAATTGATGTAGCTCAATTTGCGTAGTTTATTTCAAGTTAAGCCCTGCTGTGTAGCTGCACCGTAAGTGAATCATTCCCTGCTTATCTTCCCCAATCAACTATGAGTGAGTTAAATATGTAGACCCAACACTTCTCCAGAGAGCCAGATGCACAAACTAATCAAATGCTATGAATCTGTAGCAGAGACTCCATTTGCCACTTGGTTGGTAAGGAGATCTTCATTTTTAAATCATTAGCATTGGTCTCTGGGCAACTCTTACCATAACATGTATCGGAGAACAGTCTTTTAAAAGCCGTGTCAGATCTTTCTCCCACCATGGCTCCTTTGAACACTTGTAGATAGAAGCTACCACTTTTAGCTACCAGCCTGGCCTCAGCAGAAAAGACATCAGTCATGTTCTTATTATCAAAAGACCAGCTATTTTAATCCCATCCTAATTACTAATGGCACTTGGCACTCAAACCCCCATTCCACACTTGGAATTCTATCAATACTGGAAAGCAAGCTGTCCAATATGACAGTCTCCGATGGCCCATATTTTTTCCAGGTCTGAAGGACTCATGACCATTTCAGGAACCCAGGTTTCAAATGATGTATAGAATAATGTATTTTTCTGACCATTGGTGATTCATGCAGTGTCAGACTATAAGAATCACATTCGTTAGATTATTCTCTTCCACATACCCTGCATTCTGTGCTTTTAGCTTAACCTCTTGTCTGACGGCCCTGTTGGTTGTATTTCCTCCTGCATATTGCTGAGCGCATCTAGCTAGAATGTTATTAGAAGCTGGCCCAGACCTTTTTGGTTTATTTCTTTCCACACAGACTGAAACACTGACACCCGAGCAGATAACAGAGTACAAAGGCGTCTTCGAGATGTTTGATGAGGAGGGCAATGGGCTAGTGAAAACGGAAGATTTGGAGAAGCTTATGAGCTTGATGGGGATCAACCCAACCAAGAGAGAGCTGGTGACAATGGCAAAGGAGGTGGACAAAGACAGTAAGAACTTCCCCGGTCCTATCTTTTACTATATTTCCTTCATATTTCCTAGTGTGTTGAGCTGTCCAGGTTCTGTGGTTCACAAGAGGAATCCACCAGGCAGAATAAACCCTAACCTCAATGTATAGCATAACAAGACCTCTTCTCAATGACTAGCATGTTATTATACCCCAGTGCTTTGTTGTTCTTTTAGATAAGGGCACCTTGAACTGCGATAGTTTTCTGGTTTTGATGGGCATTTATCACGAAAAGTCTAAAAACCAAGATGAAGAGCTGAGAGCAGCATTCAAAGTCTTTGATAAGGAACACAAAGGCTACATTGACTGGAATACACTCAAGTGAGTAGTAAACTGCTGGAAGGTACACAAATATGGACCTGATTCTGCATGATGCTGAACATACATAACTCCCATTGACTTACAGATCAGGAACATGCTATGCCTTTAAAGTAGGAAGAGAAATGCTGAAGCTTTGGAAGGGCAGAGCAGGTGCTGGGATTTCAGCACCCAATCAATGTCTGAGTTTGCCGTGGGATTCCATATTGACAAACTGACTAATTTAGATTCTGAAAATGGGGTATATATCTTGATGTTATTTTACTAGCCATTTGAGAGGTTCCAGACAAGGTTTATTCCCCATCTGTTCAATGTTTCAAAAAAAGATCACTGCCCATATGTTTGAATTACACTGACATCCAGATTTACTAATGTTACATTCCAAAGAACACATGATCATCTGAAACAACAATCAGAGCTGGTGAATAATGAAAAAAGAATTCTCATGAGTCCTTCATTCACATTTTTAGATTAAGATGTCTAGCCTATGTTTGCATTACTTTTTGTTACATTTCTGAGACTGTGCTAGCAAACAAGTTTACTGGTAAGAATGCTGGCAGAAACAGTGAAATGTAGGAAGACTATTTTCTGAAACTGTAAAATCATATTGGAAATCTTAGCTACCCTGCATGAAACAAAGATATCATGTGACCAATCAAACCATTCACCACAGCTCAAAGTTTGAATAGTAAATGAACAAGAATCATTCACAGAAATTATTCCGTCATTTAAAATAATTAACACATTGGAAAAAAGATCTTCAAGACATTAGCAGACAATCTGTGAACAGAAATTAGTCAAATAAATCATTTGCTCAGCCTAACATGAATGAACGTTCTCCAGACTATGTCTTTAGCAGGCATAAAATGATAGCTCTCCCTTGAACCCTTGTTTCTTTCACTAGCTGAGCTTCTTGTCCTTTGTGTTATCAATAACAAACACAACTAAGAATTAGCCAACACTGTAAGAACAAAAGAAAAAGCCAACAAAAAAAGAAAAAAGGATTAAAATTTAAAAGATCACTTTATAAAATTAGCAAGTATTTCCACTCTTCACTTTGAAATTAACCTAGCTTTCCATATAGATATGAAAAGATATCTGTTAGTCTGGAAAAGATTAATGCATTTAGCTCACTCAAGGTCACAGGCAAATATTCCTTTTGGCTAATCAGCATTAATCAAGTTCCTGCTCATAAATGTGTAAAAGAGGAGGCATGTAGACTGTTTAACATCCTCAGAACTTGGCCTTTGATTGGGAAGGAAAACAAACATTCTTTTATTTAAAAAGCCTGGGATTTGCCTCAAAGCTTCAAGCTATCAAAGCTGACAGAATAGGAGGAACTACATAGTTTGGACTGCAGGCTACAGCAAGTTCCAAGCAAGCTAGTGCAGGCTTCAGACTCCTGCAGAGTCGTAAAACAACCCTTCATTGCTCTCTGTTCAAAAGGAAACAAATACATAGAATCATAGGACCAAAAGGAAGCTCAAGAGGTCATCAAGTCCAATTCCCTGCACTAATGGCAGGAACAAGCACCATCTCTAGACCATCTCTGAAGGTATGTCTACACTTGCACCATCTTTCAAGAGAGGGATGCAAATCCAGCTGAGTGAAATTGCAAATGAAGCATGAATTTGAATTTCCCGTGCTTCATTTGCATAATCGTGGACCGCCGCTATTTCGAAATACCATATTTCGAAATAACAAAGCCTGTGTAGACGCGGTTATTTAGAAAGAAAACCCTTCTTCTGAAATAATCCTTATTCCTCATACAATGAGGCTTACCAGTTATTTCAGAAGAAGGGGTTTCTTTCTAAATAACCACATCTACACAGCATTTCTTTTTTCGAAATAGCGCCATAACGCGAATATGCAAATGAAGCACGGGAAATTCACATCCGCACTTCATTTGTAATTTCGCTCAGCTGCATTTGCATCCCTATCTCAAAAGAGGGTGCAAGTGTAGACATACCCTAATAGATGTTTGTCTAACCTGCTCTTAAATATCTGCCGACAGTCTAGGAAGGAGTATGGCAGAAAGGGATCTAGGGGTAATAGAGGACCACAAGCTGAATATGAGTCAGCAGTGTGATGCTGTAGCAAAAAAAGCAAACATGATTCTAGGATGCATAAACAGGTATGTTGTGAGCAAGACACGAGAAGTCATTCTTCCGCTCTACTCTGTGCTGGTTAGGCCTCAGTTGGGAGTATTGTGTCCAGTTCTGGGCACCGCATTTCAAGAAAGATGCGGAGAAATTGGAGAGGGTCCAGAAAAGAGCAACAAGAATGATTAAAGGTCTAGAGAACATGACCTATGAAGGAAGGCTGAAAGAATTGGGTTTGTTTAGTTTAGAAAAGAGAAGATTGAGGGGGGACATGATAGCTGTTTTCAGGTATCTAAAAGGGTGTCATAAGGAGGAGGGAGAAAACTTGTTTATCTTGGCCTCTGAGGATAGAACAAGAAGCAATGGGCTTAAACTGCAGCAAGGGAGGTTTAGGTTGGACATTAGGAAAAAGTTCCTTACTGTCAGGGTAGTCAAACACTGGAATAAATTTCCCAGGGAGGTTGTGGAATCCCCATCTGTGGAGATATTTAAGAGTAGGTTAGATAAATGTCTATCAGGGATGGTCTATACAATATTTGGTCCTGCCATGAGGGTAGAGGGGGACTGGACTCGATGACCTCTCGAGGTCCCTTCCAGTCCTAGGATTCTATGATTCCAGTGATGGAGATTCCACAATCTCCCTGGGCAATTTATTCCAGTGTTTTACCACCCTGACAGATAGAAAGTTTTTCCTAATGTCCAACCTAAACCTCCCTTGTTGAAATTTAAGCCCATTGTTTCTTGTAGTATCATCAGAGGTTAAGGAGAATAATTTTTCTCCCTCTTCTTTGTAACAACCTTTTAGATACTTGAAAGCTGTTATCATGCCCCTTCTTAGTCTTTTTTTTTCCTTCCAAAACTAAACAATCCCAGTTCTTTCAGTCTTCCCTCCTTTGTCATGTTTTCTGGAGCTTTAATAATTTTTGTTACTCTTCTCTGGACCTTCTCTGGATATTATTGCCCCTATTATTTTCTCAGCTCACATGATGGTTCAACAAAAGAGAAAAACTTTAAATGTTACCTTGGCATCATTTCAACTCAAGAATGAACAATGCTGTTGCCCGTATTCCCCTCACCTTTCCTCAAGGGCAGGGCAAAGATCTTTCATGATGATGAGCTAGCTTCTCTGACTGATTTTGCTTTTCTGGTCTGTGGATCATTGATATGTTCTAACAATAGAAATTACCTCTCTGACTTTGAATTATGTACCAATGGCAAGTATGATTGCCTGATTGCATTACAGCTCAGCAAGCAGAACATAGCCAGATGGGATGGGGCAATAATATCCATCCCTCTTTTGGGCCCTTATACGCACAAAATATTAGCAATCCTTTCAAAGCTGCAACAGCCTCAGAATCACTTGAATAGATGTGTGTGTGTTTTGATGTACTATGGGTGTCCCTAATTTGGGAACACCTATGGTATGGACTCTGGCAGGTGGAGGCAGAAGCAGCTCTGTACATTCCCGCTTCCCCACCCAGCTTGGGGAACAGCAGCAACATACTTTGATAGAGGTTTTTCCCCCACCAGCAGTGAGGGGCAGTGCCTAGGAGTGGCAGGGGATGTGGAGCGGCAGGTAGGCACCCTACCTCTATCCCTGTCACTCCCTTCCTGGACCAGCAAAATCTTTAATCTGACAATCCCTGTTTCCCAGGGTTGCCTGTTTAAAGAGGTTCATGTGTATCTGCTAAAGGTCTGTATATGGAAGTATCATGTCTTGGTGAAATAGGTTTCCTTTCATGCTGAAAGCTGCTGTTAGCTGTACCATGCTCATGTCTACAGATACACATAGGACTAATTCTGTATCTGAGAGTTTGTGATTGGCCATTCCAAACTTTATTTAGGCTCAGAATTCTCAGTCTCATGGGCTAATGCCATCAGTGAGATTTTGAGAAGTATTTTTCTTCTCTAAGTGAGATCACAACATCTCAAGTTTCTGTTTGTGTTGAGGTTGTAAATAGACAAGACAATGCATGAGAATAGATATGGCAAGGAGCAATGCTAGTCCAGATGGCTTTAGAGGGCTTTACCATCTGACTTTTGTCATACTGTGAATGGTCACTTGAATGTTTATTGCCATAATTCCATGTTTTCAATTAGAATATGAAAAGAGTATACCATAGGTATGTACGAGTGGTTAAAGTAGGGGACTAGGAATCAGGACTTCTGGTTTAATTACTTGTTTTGCCACTGATATGCTGTGACTGAGATTCCCAAAGGTGCTGATCACTTGCCGCTCCCATTCACTTTAAATGGAGTTACAGGTGCTCATAACTTCTTTAAATTAGGTCAGGTGTAATCTCAGCCCAGTCACGCATGCACTCCATGCCTCAATTTCCCCACCTATAAAATGCACCTACATACACCTACCTTTGGGGGTTGACAGGAAAAAGTTCATGTTTGCAGAATGCTTTGAAATTCACATATGAAGGGCAAAGTATTACCAGATTTGGTCTGTATTATTAGGTATGTCCTGATGAATGCTGGAGAGCCACTAAATGAGCAGGAGGCTGAACTGATGATGAAAGAAGCTGATAAGGATGGGGATGGAACCATTGATTATGAAGGTATAGTATCCATACACCAGACTCTTTGGCAAATGAAAGGTTCACTGGGAAGATTACTCCCAACAGCCTGTGGTCAGCATCCTTCTTGCCTCCCTCAGAAGTTTTACCCACATGAGTCACCCATTATGACTAGGTGGGTATAGTCCACACAGACAGTGTCATGCAACTGTGAAACGCATGTGTGGTCTGGGACATAGGGCTGGGGACTCTGGCATTCTAATGTGGGCAGGCTAGTCAATGCTGTCTGAAAATCAGGCTCCTTTAAAGTGTTTCAAGCTAGGATTCCAAAATCACTAGTCACTCTTGAAAAGCTTGGCCTGCGTATGTGGTGCAAGTTCTAAATAGATGTGACTTCAGCCCTGATTAACTAGCACCTTTCACCAGTACTAAATTCACTTTAAAATATTCACTAAGGAAACCAAACTCTCCAGTTAAGCAGAAGTTCTTCCTGTCACAAGAAAAATGGGAAGTGAAGATTCATTTATCAGTGACATCATTTCTGATATAGCAGAATTCAAAAGCACTTGTCTGCTCCTCCAAAATAATCTTTCTATATGACATTTACAGTCTGTGAGAAACCATTTTTTATTTCTGTGCCTTCAAGTCTCCAAACTCCACAGAAATCTGCTGTCATTCCCAATGAAACTGGAAGGCCTTGGAAAAATATCTGTTCTTGGTTTGGGTTGGCATTAAACGACTGGTCAAAAAGTGGTCCAGTTCAATGCGCACATGTGGCATTTTATCTGACCTTTCAGCAGGGCTGTAGAAACATACAGCAGAAAGAAATCACAGTCCTAATTCACTACTAATTAGTCAGACTTCTTGGAGAGGGTTTGGGTTTGATACAGAGATTTTGGATGTCACACTACACTGTTGGTTTTTCTTAATAGAGTATTGTTTTCAGACATTTAATATTTCTTTATTCTTTGAATCCTTATTCTGTGTAGCTCTTTAGAAACACAGGTATAGCCACACCAGTTCAGATGTGTAGTTCATCTTGTCCATTATCCTCTCTGTCAGTGGCTGACACCAGCTGCTTCAGAGGAAATGCAAGAAATCCCATAGGTCAACCACTTGCCCATTGAGAGAGTATCTTCCCAAGCCTTTCTTAGCTAGAGGTTGGCTTTGGCCCTCAAGCATAAGGGTTTGCATCCCTTTAATGCTTGGGGATATTCCATAAATATCAGTTAATCCCAGCATCAAATTACCTCAGTTTACAACTACTTTCATGGTGATGTGCCCAAAGTCATAAAGGGAGCCAGAACTAGAGCTTGGGAGCTCCTGGCTTTCAGTCCTGATCTTAGATCATTGGACCACATTCCTCTCCTTCATGTAACCACCTGCTCCCTGCCCTAACAATCACCCTCCTGTTCCTCATACTCTGATGACTTCTTGCTGGATCTCTGGTATGTTCAGTACCATCTCAAGCAGGTTGTGGGGGAGCAGAAGAGGTGGAGGAGCAAGCCCTTCAAATATACAATCAGCTCTACAAGAAAAGGAGTAGCAAAAAAGGGTTCAATATGCCATGTTTGGATTCAGGTCTGAACTTCCCCAAGGTTTGAAGAAGTCCAGATGCAAGAGCACAATTCAGGCCCAGCTCAAAAAACTGTTTGATTTCCACTCCCATTTGCCACAATGTGAAATTCCCTGCTTACCATAAATGTATGTTGCCAATGCTGGGAGAAGCAGAGGCTTACCTCTAACAATGCCTGACAGCTTAATTAGCTCCTCAGAGTTCATCACAGCCCAGCAGAACTTGCATTGACATCCTGACAGCACCAGCTTGGCATGAGCCATTTCTTTTACTGAAGAACCAGAAGGATAAAAATGAAGCCAGTGGGCCTGTGAGGCTACTGGTTTATTTTTAGTTACTGTGGCATTTCATTTGAGGTGCAATGTAAGTAAGGTTCTGTCAGTTTCACACTAACAGTTCTTTTCAGGTGAAAGCTGAGCAGGCAAATTCCCACTGAAAGAGGAAGGTGAGAATCCTTGTGAGAAGTGCAAAACAAAATTGCTCATGTCATTCTTTAACTAGAAGGGGAAAATATGATCATATGAAAAGCTGCCATCTCACTACACTGAGCCAATAAAGCCTGACAAAAGTATACCCAGGGCAATTTAAAGACTCCTATAGATTCCAATAATCTTTAGATGAGACCTTCATCTTTGCTGTGAACTAGTAATTGTGTCATGAAACCAAAAAACCCCACTGCATTTGCAAAGATCCCTGTAGGGCCTTTTCTCCCCTGTCATCACCCTAGAGACCTCAGTGGAGTTGCATCAAAGAATTTCTTTTGTGGTCTGAGCATAGAGCTAGAAGACAGGGATGCATGTGATGTGAGGAAAGAGGGGATCTCCTTCAACTTCTGGAATGAATCCCAATCTTTGGAAAATCAGATTTCAATAAACAAAGCACTGTTCAGCCAACAAGCGTCCAATTAGTGTTCCTGGGCTTGAGATCTTAGGCCAGGTCTACGCTATACCTGGGAGGTTGGCTTAAGTTACACAACTCCAGTTATGTAGAGTACATAGAAGTCCACATAGCGGGAAGCTGATGCGTGCAAACACTCCCATCGGCTTCCCTTGCTCTTAACAACTGTGTGACAGGCACTGACTGGAGCTGTCCTCAGCATTCAATGTACAGGTCTATACTAGACCCGCTGAATCGAACATCTGTACATCAGCGTGCTGCAAATTAAGAGTGTTTCAGCATCATAGAAGTACCCTGCAGTGCTCCTTGCCCTATCAGTCTGCAGTGAACCCACTTGAATGCTTGTGCCAGCAGCACAATTTGAGGCTAATAAATCTTGCCTTGTTTTATGGTTCTCTCCCTCTCAGAGTTTGTGGCCATGATGACTGGAGAATCCTTTAAGCTTGTTCAGTAAAGCCCTGTACAAGAGCCACATCCTTCATTACAAAGATCCTTCCCAGGCACCCTCGCCTGCAAGGGCTGCAATTCCTCTCAAGATGCTGTAATCTGGAGATGTCGCTGAACACCACTCATACATTACCATGTCTGAATAACTTGCCGGGCATTCGCAGCAGGAGGAAACTCTAGATGAGAGCAGATCTGAGAGACTCCTCTCACAGCAGGTGTGGAAGCTTTGGCAGCACAGATTTGTTTGTTCAAGCAACTTGTTTTGGGAAATCATGCAAGAGCCATAATTTATGTTTATTAATAAACTTTGTAAAAAACGGTTTTTCCAATATGACTTTAAAGGGTCCTGTGAAAGGAACAGAGCATAGTTGCGAAAGGAATGCATGTTCTTTGCCAGGGCTCTCACTTCTTCGGTACAAATCATTCCTGGAACTGAGAATTGCTCCCAGGTCTACTCCTACTTTTATCCACTTCAAAAAGAGTTCACACCTTAATTAGAAATGCCTAAACTTCACTTTTACACAGTGGACTAAATAAAGCTGCACCAAGGAATGCCTCAGAACTTGAGTCACATTGCACAGAATTTCAATCTCACAATAATTCAGTGTTTCAAGTGGGCTTGGGGAAACATAGAGGAAACCTGTGAAATGATGCATTCAGGGATGGGGAGCAAATGGAAAGGCCAGTAATGCTGCAACCTGGTTCCGGATCAGCACGCATATCACGCAAGAAAGGCAATGGACTGGTGAAAGCAGAGGGGAATCCTTGTAACACTGCACGTCTATGCTCCAGACTACAAACAAATTAAAACAAGCTTTAAGGAGAGAGAAAGCCCAAGGATGGTCTGTCCTGGCATGTGCATTGTTCATTGTAGGCTGAATTTTTGAAGATATTTAGGCACCTAAAGGTGCAGATGGCACTTTTGAAAATTCCACTTGGTGCCTATCTGCCACTTTAGATCCAAATACCTTTGAAAATCTGTCATTTCCCCCCTATATTTTACAATGTATTAGAAATTTTCTTCTAACCTATCTGTATCCCACTGCCCAGCACTTTATCCATAAAGCTTTTTAAATTCAGAAGTCCCAGCAGTAAGTCTTGAAGCTCATAGGAGCTTTGGTCAAAAGCAACTGCTACCCTCTAAACTAAAGATACTGATTATTTCTTCAAAGACCTAGTATTCATTCTCCTGCCTCAGCAGATTATTGAAATGAAGTAAAGACATTTACCTGACAATAGACAGTCAAGAGGTAGCAGTTGTGGTTTTGGACTATATTTGTGGAATGAATATGTTGCAGTGGTTTAAACTAAAGATGTGATTTTAATCTGATATAGTTAATCTAGGGCAAACTCCTGTGTGGACATTCTTACTTCAGTTGAAACCAGATTTACTGCCGTTAACTTACATCAGTTACAAATCAGCTTGAACTAAAATAGCAATAAGCCACTCTTATTCAGAATAAATTGTCCAGCTCTTAAACTAATTTCAGTTAAATTGTCTCAACTTTCTAATGTAGAAAAGGCCTCAGTCATTGCGGAAGCAAATACTATCTCACAAGCAAGAGTACAATGGAGCTGATTCACAGATCTGAACAATTGGGTTTTTTTGGCATCTACAAAGCTCAAGACATCATTGAAAATATGATTGACAGTCTTCTTTAGCCTATTATGTATTTGCAGTGCAGTAGTGCCTAGAAGCCTCAGTCAGGGATTGGGGCCTCTTTGTCCTAGGGTAACCTATGAATAGGATCCATAGTATTTTCCATAGTACCCTCCAGTACAGGATAGTTCAGGCAGGCAGCGTACGAATATCTATAGATTTCGCAGGGGCTTCACTTTTAGCCACAAAACACTGCCCGGACGTGTTCTTGTCTTACTTCCAGCAGCCTCCAAACACACCCTCAGATGACTCCTCAAGCTCACCACATTTGCTTTGGTCAGTGAACAAACGTGACTTGTTTCTACCAGGTCTGAGACAACATTAAGAGCTCACACAACACCGTTTGCATGCTCAGCCAAGGATTTTGCTAGATCTCCTGTACCTATATGCTCTTTTTATATAACAATAGGCCTTCGCTTCATTCCAGCAATGCAGTCACAAGAACACTGCTCTCGAGCAATGGTGGGCATCCTGCAGCCTTCATGTGAGTCGTCAGGGTAAGCTACTGGTGGGTCACCAAACAGGATGTTTACCTTGTGTCCGCAGGTACGGCCACCCACAGCTCCCATTGACTATGGTTCGCTGTTCCCAGCCAATGGGAGCTGTGAGAAGCATCAGCCAGCAAATCCCTGTGTTCCGCTCTAGAGCCTGTAGTCATCTCCCTTCCCTAGGAAACTTTCCCTGTGCCAGTCACTACTCTTCTGAGCAGACTCTTTGTTCGAACATGAAGGACTCTCCCCCTAATTCCTAATATCTCATTTACATTTATTAGCTTGGCTCTCCTTTCACTCGCACCTTTCACCTTTATGCATACTCACTTCTTAAGTAAAATGAGCACATATTTTTTCAAACTATCTTTATATTGATTTCCAATTAGCACAGTTCT